AAAGAAAAAGAAAGGAGACATCAGAAAGCTAGAAAGGAATGAATAATTAAATTTTGTGACTGACCAGAGTCCCTACACAGCTGGATCTGTGATTGGTCATCATGTATAAAACAATTCACATGGAACCAATCAAAGATGCACCTGTTGGTAAACCATCTCCAGACCACATTCCAAGCAATCAGGTAATTATTGTTTATATTTCATTTCTGAGGCCTCTCAGCTTCTCAGGAGAAAAATCCTAGCGAAAGGGTTTTCATAAAATTTGTCAGTGACAGTTGTGAGCCCTGGGGAGCTGCAGGGTGGCACACACCTGGCTGCCTCCATGGCTCAGTGGCAGTACCTTGGGGTGGCCAGGATCTCGCTCCGGTATCTCAGAGCAGGGATCTTCTTCTGTAACTCATGTGAATACAGCCAGGATGAGAGCACCAGAACAAGGGAGCAGCATGAAGCAGCCTTCAGCACTGCCTGGCTCTGTTGTGCCCTTCCACGTGCTTTCCTGGTGGGTAGAAGTGAAATAGGGGTCTCCTCGAGCCAGGTCTCATAAGCTCTTGAAGCTTATATTATACCCAAGATATATATTATACCCAAGAGCTCTATATTATACCCAAGATAGCTCAGCTACCTTAGAAGGCATAAAATCAGCAGGATGGCTTCTGTGGTAGTGCTGGAAACAGAAAAGTTTTAATAAAAGGCAAAATAACAANATAGAATTCCCACCTCCAGCTACATCTTGCACCCTAAGACAGGGGCCTATAAGAAAGACTTAGACAAACTTTTTAACTGGGTCTGTTGCAGTAGGACAAAGGGTGATGGTTTTAAACTGAAGGAGGGTAGATTTTGATTAGTTATTAAAAAAATAAAATTATGCATTTATGGTGTTGAGGTCCTGGCACAGGTTGCCCACAGAAGTTGGGAATTTGCTGTTATGTCCTTCCCAGGCTGGGGGCAGGGAGCTGCCTTCTGCCTCTTCCTTGGCCCAGGTTTGAACCTTGCTGCTCCTCACTGGCTGCACCCAATACCCTTGAAGCAGCACTGTTCATGTGCTGTGGGCATCTCAAAGGGTCCTCTGGGGAACAGCAATTTACCTTTTGATTCAGGGCATGGGTTTTCAGAGGAAAATCCCTTCTAGTGAGAGACTGCGTCTGTTCTGCTGGAAAATCAGGGCATGGAATTGACTTTTGCTGTGCTGGATCCTGACATCAGCCTCAGCAGCTGCATCCTGCTCCAGGCTGGGCCCTGACACTCACCAGCCCCAGCACTGCAGGGCTGCTGCAGCTTGCAGTGGGCTTTTCTGTTTTCCCTCTGCAGCTGGGGAGACACTCCCTCACACAGTGGCTGCTGGCATGGCTCTGCAGCCCCTCCATGCCTGAAATGATCCTCATGGCAGTTGTGTTTGCATGGGATTGCAAGCACAGGCTTTGGGAGACAGTCTGGGGGGCATTTGTCCCCTCAGGGTGGGAGGTGAGCAGTGTTAAGTTGCTGTTGCTGAAACCTTGAAGACAGAGGCAATGCCAGGATCTCTGCTCTTACCCTGGCTGCCCTCAGATCCAACAAGAAATGGCATTGTGTGGGTGACAGTCATGTGGGGACACAGCACAGTCACTGCTTTAGGAGATGTTAATTGAGCCAGCAATGCTTCTCTCTTGAGCTCCAGCCCTGTCTTTGTAAAAGGAGAGGATTTTCCATTTGGCAGGGCACGGGGACCCCTCAGAGCACTGCAGTATTTCCCAGTGAAGATCCACTCCCAGTTTGGTCTCAGAGAGAGGTTTCTTCCTTTCCAAGGGCAATTCCCTGGAGATTCTGAGCAGTGATGCTCCTTGTCCTTCAGGGGGTATAAGCTGAGGAGAGGGACCAGGAAAGACCAGAAATATCAATATCCCTCTCCACCTGGCTGCTCCAGGACGGTTTTAGTCTGGAAGGGATATTGTCAGCAAGGGCAGCGATGGCAGTGACGGGCAGAGCCAGCTGGGCACAGGCAGCTCTGGGCTGTGCTCCAGGGACAGATGAGCTGCCCTGGCCCAGCGGCTGCAGGGCTGTGCCAAGGCCCTGCCATGGGTGCCAGGTCCTGCCTGTGAGGGGGTGCAGCCCCTCTGCCAGTGAGCCCCAGACCCATTTCTAGCTGGTCACTGTGAAATACAAAGCTGTGTTTGGTGTCAGGTACATACAGGCAATGTGTGTATTTGTGATTGTGAGATGTGTGGAGACCGACCATGGGGCAGTTATAAAGATGAATTCTAATCATAACTGAGGAAAGTAAAGCATGGAAGAAGGCCTTGGAACCCATCCTTTGTTCACAATTAACCTTAGTTGATTTAGGAGCATTTGAATTAAAGCGTTAAGGATGTTGCTCTTTGCTTG